AAAAACCTTCTGATCTCTCCTGACTGCTCAGGGCCCCTCAGTCCGTTTGTGATACATACTCATGAGCAGGCCTTCTCCTACTCATGAGCAGGCCTTCTCGTACTCATGAGCAGGCCTTCTCGTACTCATGAGCAGGCCTTCTCGTACTCATGAGCAGGCCTTCTCGTACTCATGAGCAGGCCTTCTCGTACACCTGCTTGTAAATGAGAATTTCAGCTAAATCAGTTCAAATAACAATCCTGCTTGAAGGGCACATCACATGCTCATATATTTGAATCATATCATTTCTGCCAAGTACAATCAAACATCAGTGAATTAGATACCAGACCTAATTGCACAAGACACACAACCAGATAAATCCACGATCAGTAAGCCTACGTGGTCGGGTATGTTTCTGAACATGACTGCTGGATCTATGTGTCCGGCAAAGACAACATACAAAACATTCATTCAGACGCTCTTTAAAATTCAGATTTTAATTAAAACCAGAGCATGTTACACTGATCATGCGACAGGGATCAAGCTCACTGCTGCATGTGTTAATTTTAACAGTGCTTATGATATCAGGATAGATCAGTTCCCCCAACAGCACTGATTAAAAAAAGGTACATATTGCATTGGTTACTGCAAGATAAGGCTACTCATATATTTGTATAAGACACTTATGGAATTAAAATAAAAGGACCAGGGAGTGTTTAATTACTACAAGAAGTAGATTCTTGTGGAACACCTCAAGTACCTTGGAAATTTAATTCAGATCTCAATGAGCACTCGGCAGTTACCTGAAAAAGAATAAATATTCTGCCTTCTTGCCCGCAATGACCTATCGCACTCAACATAGTGATGCTCTACTGGCTTTAGAGCAGAGGAATCCTCTTGTGTTACGACTCAGGGTCACGACACAGGTGAGCAAGAAAGTCGTAACTCGCCTGGGTATCGCTGCGGAAGCCAGCCCCAGCTGCTGAAGGGTGTTAGATATGACTCTGTAGCAAGGCCAGCTCCCAGACAAGGCCAGATCCCAGACAAGGCCAGCTCCCAGACAAGGCCAGCTCCCAGACAAGGCCAGCTCCCAGACAAGGCCTGCTCCCAGACAAGGCCTGCTCCCAGACAAGGCCTGCTCCCAGACAAGGCCTGCTCCCTGGTATCCTGACGGCATCACAGCAGCAGCCAGCGCTGACAGCACAGGGCCACCAATGCACAAGAGAGATGGATTGCTGCCACACTGCACAGACAGTGACGTCCAGGCCGAGGTTCAGCAGAAGGGGCTACGCTCTACGTTTAGTCTAGGAAACGCAATGGAAGTTTAAACGAGCCTGTCTAATAGACAAATCCCTCACTTCTGCAGGTAGTGAATGAGAGCCCCCCCCCCCGTAATCCATCTTCCTTTCACTTCTGCGCGACAGGAGCAGAGGTAGCCTAAGTGAGATGGGGGGGCACAATGCAGACGCGGCAGCTCGCTTGACGGGGCACTACATCAACTGCAGGGCTGTGTTTGGAAACCGAAAAGGCGGATTCTGCCATCGCGCTGCAGAATGGGGGCATTTAGGCAGACGAGTGTCTAAGGGGGGACATTTCATGGGAGGGACAAATCAGCCCATGAGGACAACTCCTGAACAGTGTCCTCAGTGCTACCGTCAGCTTCCAGACCGTCCCACCGCGTAAACAGAGCCAGAGACACACTGCCCCTGCCTGCAAGAGACAAGCTTAGCAGTCCCCATCCATACAGCATGCCAGCCTTCTAACAACTAACAACCCTTAGCTGCTCTTGCAAGACCATGAGGGATCCATGGATTATTCTCACGATCCACTGACCTGACCCATAACTTCAGCCGCACTTCAGAGGGAGATATTAACTGCTGAAACATGCCAGGTGTTCCAGAGCACGAGAAACATCGCAGATCTATCCATGCATCAAACGCATGGGAACCCAAAGACAACTTTGAAGACTCATTCATAAAAATACATAAACACTAAACCAGAACGACAACCCTGAACAAGCACTTTGAGTCACAGAAGTGACGAGGAGCTATACTGCTGAGCGTTAAGTCTGTGTGACAAGAGCCCAGAGCATTTTTTGGGTTGGACCCTTATATGTCTGTCCCTGCAGGTCTTCCTTCTACCCTTCAATGAGGGGCTCTCATACAGCAGGGCTCTAAGCTCCTTCAAGAAACAATTCAAGCAACCTTCTGCACATGCTATGGAGAAATGTCTGGTATCTTGAGACCAGCTGTATAAAAGTACACAGGGAACACTATATCTCCTGAACCTCTAGAACATTTACATCACATGATCCATGCCCAGGACCATGGAGAGCATTAGGGATCCCAGCCACCCCAACACAGGCCCCATCTCTGTGCTGAGGTCGGGCAAACGCTCCCGCAGCCTGAAGGTCAGCACAGAAAGGCTGAGGAAGAGCTTCTTTCCTCAGGCAATTCGGGTCCTTAATGAGGACAATGTTTAGCACCTGCACAACCAGCATTCCAGGATACGAGATTTACACATGCACATACGTAAATGCTTATTTATTCATACACTCTTGCACAACCTGCCACTTTACTGCCAACTGCACACTACAAAAATGTATGATTATAGTTAATATCTATGTTTCTTCACACTTATATCCTTCAGACGTATGTCCCCTATTGACAGTCTGGAGCTACGCAGTAACGCACTTCACAGCACACTGTACCGAGTATAACTGGGTGTGTGGCAAATTTAAATTCGAAACTTGAAAATGGCACGAGAAAATACCACCAAAAAAAAAAAACAACACACCACAGCCAAGTACACAGATTAAAAACTGCTCACGGACACCATAGAAACCCTAGTGTTTACACCGACTGCTCATTTAGCTACATTAGTGCCAACAGCAGCAGCTCTGAAGAGCAGCCTTCCACTGATATGGCCTGCAGTACTGGAGGGTTTATTGTGAGCATCTCTCCTGTGCTGAGGCTTACAAACAACAGGCATCATAATAAAATCACATCAAAAACCAATATAATCATCTGAGGTTCATGCGCATTCTTATGGGGGGGGGGCCATATGTGGGTATCTAAAGTTCAGACTTGACATGTTCTGATAACCATGGGTCACTAAACTTCTTCCCCAATCATTACCGGGATCAGAAGTTGGCATTTTTTTTGTGGGGGGAATAAAAAGCAAATTAAATCAGAGATCTGCATCAGCTGCACAACAGTGCGAGCTGGAGGACAATTCAACAGCTCCCTTAGACACACTTTCATTTTCATATTCAGGAAAAGCGCCGATCAAAGATTTTAGGCTGTAAAGCAAAGGGCTTAAGGTTACTTTCCTTAAATGCACTCAGCAATTTCATAAGAGAGAGACCAAGGAAGCAAAAACAATGCAGTGCAACGCAACAGCCAAGACCCCAGAATGCACACAGAGATGCAAAGTAACCGGCAGGAGAAGTTACTTCCTATGAACCACTGCGGACGGGCAGGCTGAACGGAACTGATTTCAGCCATTCCACTGGCAATCCACGCAATTAATCACGGGGAGATCGCTCTGCTGTACATATACATTCGTAGAACTCTTCATCAAAATGTCAAGGTCAAAGATACACATTCAATAAAGGTTTATCCTTTATTCTTAATCTGATCCAAAGAGATCAGCAGACGAATGGAGTGGGTTAAGACAGGACCATTTAACCCTACACACCAAATGAGCTCCCGCTGGGAGCAATATTTCACCATTAATAATTCACCGAAACCCCTTCCGAAGAGAAGCTTTCAATAAAAGTCAGGTACTGTTTGCCTATCAAGCTGCCTCTTCACGCAGCCTGAGGCACATGGGGGGCACTGGGGGGCACCAGGGATCGGTGCTTTTCCGCATCGGTTCAGGGTTAGATGAGCGAACATCACAGCAGGCAAGTGTGGCTGTAGCTGAGGCCAGAAGGAGGACCGTGGGTCGGAGCATAGCTAGGGGCCAGGAGAATGGGCAGTCAAGGATGTCGACATACCTAATTCCTCAGAACGATATTACTGATTAAGGGCCGGGTTAGTTAAACACAGGGTCTGCTACATGTCATTTTACTCATGTAGCCTTATAAATTGCATCTATGATTGTACGCTGGCAGTGCAACATAATGACAATTCATATGCAATGAAATCAAAACAAGCAAAATATGTATGTATTTATTTGTCTCGGGGGCGACTTCCTATTATATAGTTACACACTTACAACAATGGAAATGATTAGAAGTATAATAAAAGCACAGGGGACTTCATGCAAACTTAAGGATGCACGTCATTGTGCTTTCTATGGGATATAACATCACAGATTACAATAAAACACACGGATCATACCGGCCACAGCAGACAGGGGCACCGGTACCTGGACACACAATGGCCAGACGCGCGCGGCTGCGTGCACACCTCCGTGGTGATCAGGGCTTTGAAAAGAACACAAGTGCAACGCAAGACAGCGACGACACTTTCCAGGAAACACGACGACTCACCCCGAACAACCAGATCGATCTTGAACCGGGGGAGCCTCGCATAAACACGGGAATAAAGGGCTGCGGACGGGGAGGTGACGAGGTGCGAGCTACGGCCGTAATGCCGAGCTGCAGAACGCAGCATCGCCGCTCCATACCGCGTCCCCGCAACCAAATAACAAAGGAAGACATTTTGTCTCCCTTTCGCGGTAACACGGACGCATTTTAACAAGAATAGGGTTTCTGCCTTTTAACCAAACGAAATCGGATGGAGACTGTGTCACACACATGGTGCTCAGCAAACGGAATGCCTGCGTGCTTCCTAACCGAGCTGCACCGGACCGGTGCCCACCCCACCGGCCGAGCGACGCGAGACTCCCGTGGCCGCCGACCTCCCGGCCAGGTGCCGTGGGTAGAGAGGGTTATGGCGGCCCCTTTCCTGTGAGCGATCGCCGCCACGACACGGGAAGGGTGAAGGCATAAGCGACCACGGGAGAGACAGCAGGGGAGGGCGAGGGCTCCGGGGCGACAGCGGCGATCTTACCTTCGGCTCGGAACTGCCCGAGGTCGGTCCGCCGATCCTACTGTCGCTTTAGTCCGCGACGAAACACACCAGTCACGTGCAAATATTTCGAAAAATGGTGCACCAGTCTTATAAAGACAAAAACTTTTTCTTGCACATCTATATCAGATGGAGCTTTATATATTTACCGCCGCTCGCCTACAAGTTAGTGCGCTCACTTTCTATCAGCTATCTGTCACCGCCGTTTACCCAGACCAGCAAAGTTTTGCTTTCCATCGTGAAGGTACCAGATAATACGGTTTAAGATGAGCAGCGTACGGGACCACGTCTAGCTTTGAGCGTTAAAAAAAAAAAGAGATGGCAAATCCGGACTGGTCCGGCTGGTGCGCACTGGAGCTCCCCGGACGTGTAGGGCGCAGTCAGCACTGCGCTGCCGGAGCGGATCGCGGGCTCCGCGCACTCCCCCGCACTCCCTGCACGGCTCGCCCAGCCTCTGAAGATACCGCCTTCTGTTGCACAATGCCCAACCATAATTTATTCATGAGACCATGGAGACGATGAGCTTTCTGCATTCTCACTTTTTTATTTTCTCCAGTTCTTCTCATCGCAGACAAAAGTAATGGATAAAACACCTTGCATATAGTTTATATTAGTTTGACGTCGTATTTAACAAATATGTATTTTCTTTGTCGTCAAGAAGCCCCATCACCGCAATAGTAACACCCGCTTTGACTTCATTGGTTGTTTTAAGATTATTTAAATACTACCGGAAGTTTCTGAAAATCGGCAACAAAAGACGAATTTTCAGTTTCCAATAAAAATGGCTAACCATACAGGACATTTTTAAAAATCCTGTTATTTACGAATCACTGGTGAGACCGAACGAGGATAAGCTTGTCTTCAAAAATATAAACGTCAATACATGCTTTACAAGTGCGCTTAGAGGACACTTTTATCCGAAAATTGTTGATAATCTGACGCCCTAGCGGTGTATTCAGTGGGCTTTCGGAAGTGTTTTGGTCCATAACAGTACTGCAGCGAGCCGCTCATTTGGGACTGTTCGGACTGTCAATCACAAGTTCAGTTTCTGACCTACTTGCTGCCCAAAGGCATTCGGTGACAAGTGATATTTGTTGTATTAGGTCTACTGTAAAAATTATAATATTTTTCCTGTTTACGTATTTTCACAGGAAAAAAACTATTACAGAAAAACTGTGAAAATAACGTGGGAACATTAAAGGAAAACCAGACTTTGTTTAATTGTTGTTTAAGTAGGCTAATAATGTCTAATGTTAAACAAATTGGGACAATTAAATTGTAATTCTGTGCAAACGTTTTAGGATAAATAAAAATGAAATTTAAACGCAAGATATTATTCCAGTCTTTGCTAACTATTCCTGAAAAACTATTCCAGTTTTTCATGATCTGATCTTTCCAGCAGAAAATATATAGGGTCAAGACTAATTACAGCTCCCTTAAAACGACAGTAAACCTCTTACTTCGCCGTCCTTTATCAAACATTCACACTGGACACTGGAATTTTTGTTATAACACAATTGGTCATCCTTAAAAAGAATGCCCTGTACTCATGAAATATTTCAGTGTCATTTTAAAATATTTCCTATCAATTTTTTGACAGTTGAACCCGTTTTGGAATAGGAATTATATCTATTAATTTTCTATACGAGCTTTCTAGACGACCTTTTTAGTCCGAGTATGCTGGGCAGAGCAGCTTCTTACTGTTTGTACGGAATATGGTGCAATATGATATAAAATATAATGCTGGCAAGAGTGCTGTTTGAATATGTAGAACCAAGCAGGGCAAGTGGCTCAATTTTCCTGAGTTTAAATTATCTAATAATAGGCTTGAGGTCTGTAAAAAGATTAAATATCTTGGTCACTTCATTACAGACAACATGAGTGATGATGATGACATATACAGACAATGTTGTAAGTTATATGCACAGGCAAACACCCTTGCACGTAAGTCTGGCTTTTGTTCTACTAATGTTAAAGTGGCATTGTTTAAAGCACACTGCACACCACTCTATACTGCCCAATTGTGGTCATCTTACAAAAAATCTAGCATGCAGAAGTTACAAGTTGCATATAATGATGCGATGAGAATCCTCCATAAGAGTCTCAGAGGAGGAAGTGCCAGTCAGATGTATGTAACTGCAGGAGTCAGGACCTTTAAGGCACTATTGAGAAATTTGATGTTCACGTTTATGTAGCGTTTGGATAAATCTACTAACAGTATCATTTTAGCGCTATCAAATCCTGGCGTGAGTTGTTCCCGTTATGCATCCAATCTGAGCGTGCATTGGCTGAGATGTCTGTATGTCAGTTGATCTTCTTCACGTTTTTATCTGTCCTTTTTTGTGTGTGTATCAACAGACCTGAGTCTGTCAATAAAAGTAATTGATATACCCACTTGTCCTGTCCAGAGCACGGCAGGGAATAACGCGGGATGGGGCCCTAACCCATCGCAGGGGACACACAACATTCACACATTGTAACAGCCACCCCATACAATTAAATTTACTGAGTCAGGCTAAAGGCTACTGGCATTTTCACTAAGGAAAAAGGTGAAATACTAGTACTATATCTAATCTCTTTCTATACAGTTTTTTTCCTAGCAATATTTAATTGGAGCAGCTGCAATAAGCATTTCACTGCAGGTTGTACTATGTATGATGATGCATGTGACAAATAAAAATTTCCAAACTGATTTCAAATTCAAAACTGAATAGCAGCATGTTTAACCTTCAGTTTGCACATGACCCAAGGCCACTAAACAGTGTTTTAAATAGATGTTAAAGGACCCCACACAGTTACAGGACATTGTCAGAAACTGGTTACATGCTGAAATCACTAATGGAAAATATCCTGTTGAATGCAGTTTTTAGATTTTTCTCATAACATTGTTAAAGGAAGTTTTTGTTGTACGAAATGCTGAAAAATAATGATTACATGAATACAACTAATATATTTACACACAAACGTCATATGTTCTTTAGTACACGCTATAATTAAATTGAATTTTCATGAAATTGTTGCTGCAAGGAATTTCCTGCTACATAACTTCTTTTTACATTTCACTTAAGTAAAACCATTGACCAAAAGCTAAAAAACAGTAGCAAGAGTTCATCCCTTGCTGTGCTCTCTTCCTGCAGACTGCCACATCTGAGTGAGTCATCAACCACATCTCAGCAGTCGGTTGAGATCTATCTTAGGTGTCTAAGAGAATGTAAAAAAAAATAAATGTTAAACTCAACATAAGACTTTCAACACTTCTTGCACCACGTGTGACACCTAATTGCAATTCTTAGATTATGAGGTAGCCATCTAAAGAGCTCGCGTCTGAAATAGTTATGTATGACGAAACAAGAAAACAAGTTTCATAGACATTGACTCAATAAAGGGACCAGCTAAAGTTTAAAAAACGGATCGGACTGAACCATTTGATAAAAGGGGGGTACGAAAAGGAATGTGGCAAAGGACATACTAGAATGATGAGAGCTAAAGATACAACGTTGAAATAATGTTATATGATTTCTTCATTCAATTTAGGGAGAAGCAGGACAAACATACCAGCATTGCGGTTAAACTTACAGAAATAGAATGCCGTTTTAACCCCCCTTTTTACATTGTTGTAAGTGGTCAGATCTGCCTGCAACCGCTGTAGCCAAACATGGGAATTCGCCAGCAGAGAGACGGAATGCTGGTGTACGGCTAGACTGAAGCTGCAGCAAGATGAACAATGGATCTGCATTTCCAATGAGCACAGAGTCCTGGCAAAGGCAGCGGTTCTCACTCCAGGTTCTCGAGGGCTTTATTCCAGCCCTGTTCTGCCCCTTGCATACTACTGAGAAAACAGTCAGCTGACCGCTTTGCTTAAAAAAAGACTACGGATTGCCATGAAGAGCATCTAACTAGATTGGCACCTAGGTGTAAAAAAAATTAAAAAGGCACTTAGTCCATTAAATGTCCCTTGGGATTCTAAGTATGCCGGTTCGACTGTACGTGACGCGTCATATTTGCAGAAAAAGGCGTAATTCCAAAGTGCGTACATTTCATCGTTCCACTGGAGGAGGGAAGGGGGGGGGGCGGGTAAGTGTGTGCTTGGCAATGCGCCTCCATGCAAGTCAGAGTTTTCTCGGTCACCCTTGTAATCTGCAGCTCCTTGTTGCCCTGGAAACAGATGCCCTGCTCGCATTCTTTGCCCTTCCCTCATTTTCCCCAGTCCATTGACACAGGAGCAGCGCTTCCCGCGCCTCCCATCCCCCGACCTCCTCTCCGCCGGCGGCCAAGCCTAACCTGCCGCACAGCCACGACTTCAAGCTGCTGCAATCATTAAACACTGTCATAGACTAGCACGACCAACCTCCCCCCTCCACCCCCAAGACATACAGGCACGCACACACAGCACTTTCTGTATCAGGGTCAAAAGCCTCTCCGATACTGAGCGATCTGGGCATGTCTGTTAACCGCTGCAGAGCTAACTGGCAGTTAACTATTGTGCAACCTGACTGGGAGCTAAATACGTTGTATACAGAACCACAGAGAAGCACCCGCGGGGCGCGGGGTGTCGCGCACATGACACGGCATCTTCTTTTCATGCGAAGAACAACGAAGGTTCGGTGGCGGCGCCTCCTGCCCGCCGGCCTTCTCCCGGATAGCGCGGCCAGTGGGAGCGTCCGCAGGGATCCAGGCGTGCACCAGCGCAGGCACGGCAGGCAGAGCTGCTCCCCTTTCGAGCCTTTTTAAGTCAATAATTTATACATTTTTTCATTGTTAGCCAGCTCTCTTGACATTCCGATTCACTGACTTCTTCAATTCTGGCCAGAACAGAGACATTCCTGGGAAGTCGCTGACCGGTGGTAACAGATTAGTACCTCAGGGCGGAACTGATTTGGGGCGGGGGGGGGGGGGGGGGCTTCCTCCTGCCTGTGCCCCCACCCAACAGATGCATACAATGTCGCCCTGCTTTTGACCCGCCGGCCCTGTCACACCGCTGGGACCTCGCCAGCTGTGGGCGTGGCTTCACCTGAGCAGCGAGGCGGCCCCGCCCTAACGGACATGCCTCCGCGTGACGGACTGCATGCGCCCTTCCAGGGATGCCCGCGGACAGGCTCCTGTGCACTGCTGTTTGAAGGTCAGCCGGATTCAGGCATGAACGACAATGCCGCAAATGCCAAAATAGAGAGAGATAAATATAATGAAAAATGAACAGAAGACACAATCGTAATCTGAAAACAACCAAACATTGTTCAAGAATCCGAATGAAAATGGACACCTGTAATTGGTGGTCAAAATTAGCAGTTTTATCCATTCTGACTACCGATTACCTTGAAGCTTTGTTAATTTGTCCATTAATGGAGCAGCATTGTATAAACATATGCAACTGTCTTTACCGTGATGTATTCACATAGTGACGGGTGTAATTACAGAATAAAGTCAGCTCAGGTGAAAGAGATTATCAAGGGCTTCAAGGAGTTAAGAAAATGATTCCACAGCAGAAACAGTCCCATAGTAAACAGAGAGGCAGGATCTGCAGTGGCATCATGTGATGCAGGTGAACCAGCTCCGGCCGCGCTGGCAGGAGTGCCACGGTAACAGCGGCAGCGCGCACAGGGGTGTCACTGTGAGGGACCAGCTGCAGC